TTTTTTTTATGTTTATTCATTTACTTTTTTTATTTATCTTATTCTTTTTACTTTTACATTTTTTTTTTAAATTTATTTTATTATTTTTTACACTTTATTTATTTTTTCACTTAATTTTATTGCTATCGCACAAGAGCTAACAGGCCCTGTGTGATTAGTATTCAGAGGTGACAAGTCCTCTTTATTGAACCTGTCACCTACAATACAGGAGTTCTAGAACAATACTGAGATGGGAAGGCTGCGAGTGCAGCTCTCTCATCTCCGACGTTCTCCGGTCTGCTCCCCAATCTCCATCCTAATCTAATGTGCCAGAAGAGCAGGGGACCCGAAAGACCATGGCGAGGAGGGAGCCAGTGGGCAGGGAGAGAGTCGGTTGGCAGTGACACAGTGGGCGGCTGTATAGTCAATCAAGATCACTTGTACAAAATGGCTCTCCCTCTACATTTAGCCCTGCTGTTTGCCTGAAGCAGGGCTAAATGTAGAACTGCATGTCCCGGGCGTTGGGTGATAGGAATTCCACATCCCCGAATCTTGGAGAACGATGTAATTGGTTTGCTGCAGGTAGAAGGAAGCATTTCCCCTTTTGTCCCTTGCAAAATGATCAGATAGACAGTACTTTGTCATTTTCTGCCACGTTCTCTCAGACGAACTACAAGAATGAGCATAAAGGCTACTGCTTAAGCCTATGGAGTTAAATGATTGTGTCATCTATGGGCCAGCGTATTGGCTCAGGAAGTAGATGCCTGAACACAGTTGGCTCTAGCCTTCTTGGGAGAAAGGATGATGAAAGCATTAAGACCATAACTGTGATGTCTTTTTATGGCATTAGTACCTTTTGTTGCTCTTGCCTATTATTACTTGACATGCATGCGCTTAAAATGGGGGGAAAAATATCTAAAGCTTTAATTTTCCAAGTTTGAGAAACATTTGCCTTGAACATATTTTGGCTGATATTTCATTCCACATGAAAGCACCTCTTTAATCTTTTCAGCTCTCCAGCTGCTTACCTTTATGATCAAAGCAATTTTCAAATTTCCCTTTTTAAGTCTATTGATCTGGCAATAAGTTTGACATAAGTGATACTGTAGTGATATGTATATTGTTGTGTTTTTTGTTTTTATTAGACTTTATTTTACTGGCAGTGTTTTCCATTGAATGAATCTACTATTTACAGTATTTAAAAACTATGTTTTAACTAGTAATAGATTTACGTAACTAGTAATCCATCTATAGATATAAAGTACAAATGTTATAAGTCTCATGTAGGAAAAGAACTGAAATAATATTGCTGACAGAAGATGATTTTGCTAATGTTCAAGTTTCAACCATTCAGCTAATAGGTGGACGGAACAAACATGGTGAGCCGATTTGCTAAAACTTGAACATTATCAAAATCTTGCTTGGTTCCTGGGTATTGTCAGCTTCAAAGAAGAAAGGATGATTAAGGCATTATTAGGAGGATTACTTGCTGACTGGGTATTGTCCGCTACACTCGAGTGTGTAATGCCAGAGGTATGCGTATTGCTCTTCCGTGCAGTGCTGCTGAGGTAGAATTGTGAGCTTTAAAATGCTTCCAATCTCCTT